GAACAGCATAGTGAGACCCTGGCTCAAAAAATAAAAAATAAAAAATAAATCACCACCACAGAGTTTAAATCTTAATAAATTTATGTAGCCAGTAGCATCGCCCTAGAGGACAGGGTAAGAGGTAAATGGCAAAGAGCATTTCATTTGAGCTGAAATCATTGTGAGTCTATGGCTACTGACAGGAATGTAGTGGGCAGTTGTTCTTAGGTCTGTATTCTGATATGATTCAACCTATGCTCCTAAAAGCTCAGAAGTTAGCAACTTTTTACAGGTTGCAGATGCACACATCGTAATTCTTACAGGAAGTACTACTGCAAAGCATATGCATTTCCTTTTCCCCCAACATTCTATCTTTTTAAAGGTCACTCTATAGTTAAGTCCAAAAACACAGCAGTGGCAGTAATGCTGTATAATAATGGCTAATATTTATGATTATAGGCATCATTCTGCAGTTAAAATATATTAATTTGGAGGCTGAGGCAGTAGGATTGTAAGATTAAATCTAGCCTGGACAATTCAGACACTGTCTCAAAATAAAAAAGGATGGCCAGGCATGATGGCGCATGCCTGTAATTCCAGCACTCGAGAGGCTGAGGCAGGAGGATCACTGCAGGTTTAAGGACAGCTTGGGCTCAATACTGAGTTCAAGGCCAGCCTGACTACATAGAGACCCCTCTCCTTCATGATATATAGATATAGATATAGATCAGGGAGGATGTAGCCCAGTGCAAAGGCTCTGGGTTCAAAGTCCAGTAAGAAAAACAAATTGTAGCTGGCTGTGGCTCAGGGGCACTGTGTTGGCCCAGTATTTGCAAAGCTCCAGGTTTGATCCTCAGTGTCAGGCACACAAACAAGTATTCAGCTGATCTTCGTCCGAGCTCTGTGAGGTGGATGCATCATCATCAACTGCTAGCTCAGTGCAGAAGAGAGGCACAGAGGTTAAGGCTTGCCTGCTGGGTCACACACAAAGGATAGAATGCGATTCCAAGTGGGCCTGCAGTCCTACTGCTCCATAGCTGCACCTACCCAGGACTGTGCTTGCCTGCAGCCAAACGATGATGGTAGGCTCTATGCTAACGATGAATTCAGGTTTATCAAGCACACAGCCTAAAGCAAGCAAGCAGCAGACTGGTTGTAAAGCTTACACTTACCTGCTCTGAAGGGCTAAGAAAATGAAAGTAGGGGTTGGGGTTGTGGAGTACACACATAATCGCAGCACTTGGGAGGCTGAGGTAGGAGGATCACCTTGAGTTTGAGACCAGCCTAGGCTACATAGTAAGTTCAAGACCAGTCTGACCTACACAGTGAGATCGTGACTCAAAAAACCAAAGAAACAAAACAAAATGAAACCTGAGGGTTGTACAGAAATGTCAATTTTCTAAGTGGATAGCCCAAAATCCAAGTGGCAAAAAAAAAAAAAGCACCCCTACATTCGTAAAGATGGAAAATAAAAAATTAAAATAAGCCCAATATTTAGAAAATCTTTTCTTAGTGTAAAATCTGGAAATGCTGAATTTTTGAGAAATAAAACAGATGAGGCATTAAGGCTTTCAGCAACTGAAATAAATTTGCAAGCATTAACTTTGCCTTGAAGTGGCAATTTTCTGCCATAGCTTCTGGAGAGTGCTGGCATTACCAACACATGCCACCAGGGCTTGCTTATAAATCTTTCACTGAGAACAGTTAGAAGTGCTTTCACTGTAACTGGAAACACTTTGTTCTGAAAGGAGCTTCCAGAAGTGACTAAACTGGAAAAAATAATAGCACATGTGCGAGATACAATTCTCAGCGTACATTCACTTATTCTTTGGTCTTCAAAGTAATGCAGTGAGGAAGGAATTATTTAAACTGCACAAGAGGAGGCTGAGGCATACAGCAGGCAAGTAACACACCAAGTCCACACAGGGGTATTGAGCTTTAGCTCTCTCTTACTAGGCATCAAAAATCACACTTTCCTGTCAGTCATATTTTGCCAAACAAAAGCTAACCATGGCACAAACTGAATACAAATGTGGTAAAAGGGGAACTCTGATGTGGACATCTTTATATTTTGCTATGCCATTTAAATATGATAGCTTAAAATTTAAAATGTGATATTTTAATTCTAGTTTTCCTCATATCCAAATCTCTAGTATTTTTTCATATAAAATATTCACTACATTTAAAAATCCCACCTTTTCTGACTGTAAAGCTTTTTATACTAGCTTCAATTAAACAATTTTGACCTTATTCCTTAAGTACAACGGCCTTTGCCAAGGGAATCTTACAATCCCTTTGGTTAACAGGTTCTACCTCTAATTCAAGAGCTGGTCACCCCCTAAAGTACACACAAACCAGCAAGGTTTGGCTCTACTCTTTTTTAGGATAGCAGTCACTCAAAACTGAAAGCACAGGGATAGAACCCATGCTTAACATGCCTGAGGGCCTGTGTTCAATCTCCAGCACCACAAACCCAAACCCCAACTAAGGATGCTCAAAACCTTGTAATTTCATGCTTGGTCTGGTGATGTCTACCAGTCTCTCAAGAAACTGAGGCAGGACTGTAAGTTTAAAGTGAGCCTGGGCACCTTAGACCCTGTCTCAAAATATAACAAAACAGCACCAGGGATGTAGCTCAGGGCCAATCCCCACAAAAGCTGTTTCACGCTTGTGCCTTTTGAGGTGCTTCTGGGAGACTGTAGCAGCAAAATGTTTGCAGTAAGTATCTGAGCATGAAGACCACCCAAACCCCATCCCACCTCACCAAGCCAAGTGCCCCTGCAATGTTTTGGAAATGTGAGGTCTTCTGAAGTAGTCCAAATATGAGCAATATTACTAGGTCTTAGTGGGTGGAAGCCAGGGCAATGTATCTTGTGATGCTGGCCAGTCCACATAAGGAAACATCACCATCCTCCTTAGAACCTCTTTCCTATGTATGTACCTTGCAGTTTTAAAATTGAAATTTACAAATATGCAGTTAGGTAACTTTCAAACTCATTTAATCAAATAGAAAAAAAACTTCAATATTTAATGCTTCTTAGAACACACAAACAAATGCCACGGCATGCTCTTTCAGATGGAACAGTATGTACCAGACCTTCAGATGGCTATGCAGATGAGCGGGATCATCTCAGGAGGGGTCAGTGCTCTCAGTCCTGGCCCTCCTCTTCCTCCTCCTCTACCCTCAGAGGCTGATGCTGAGTATAAACAGGGCTTTGTTAGGGAGTGGGGCTGGTTTTGCCCTGTGGAAAATCAATTTATTGCAACCATCCTCCAGGTTCCAGTGACATCCTGTCATACTGACCCGAGTAACCTGACACTGAGACTTCCTGCTTCACTGCAAAGCCAAATATCTGGCTCATTTTATGGATGCAGTCCTTTAAAAAGGTCAAACAGAAAGCTATTAAAATAGTTCATTGCACAATAAACACATTAAAACAACCAGACATATTTAACTTTTTTAGTAGGTAGAAAATTTTAAAAAACAAATTTTCCAGATACTGAATGGGGCTCATATGAAAAAAAAAAATCCAGAAAACAATTGTTATTCAAATCATTATTTTTAAATACATCAACAACTCAGATTTAAAGATTCAGAATAGCAAGCTCTGAATCTGTAGATTTGAAGATTTTACGGTTTCTGACTTCTAAATGTCTATCAGTAGCCTCTAATACAAAAGAATTCAACATGATCCCCTAGTCCATAATTTTTAAGGAAATTACCTCCTCTGAATATAAATAAATTTGATAGAATTACTTTCACTTAACATATTCCCAGTTAATAAACTTTTACTGCCAAATAGAAGAGTACATAAATTTTTTTCCAAATGACATGGAAGTATTTATTTGATAAATTGAGTTGTAAGTGGTACACACGATTGTACTGAGACAGAGTAAGCCATTTATTAAAGCACTGCATGATGAAGTTTCTGATTCAATATTACATGCAAACATTTCCCCCTTCATTAACATTTGGCCTAAAACATACAATATAATCTTTCCAGAACTAGAAAATACCTGTCCTTTAATACTCAATGATTTAACAGTGAGCTGAATTTTTTTGAAGTTTACATTTTCTTGATGAGACAGTAAGTGAATACTTCCAAAAAAAATTTTTTTTTTCAAAATCCCTTATGCCTGAAAGTTAAATTTCATATACTCTGTGCACTGGTCCAAAATTAAAATTCTTGATTAAAGCTCCTGCTTAGGCAGATGCAGGGGCCGGGAGTTCAATCCCTTGGCCTGCCATGCCGGCCCCAACCCTGGGGCATGCTGAGACAGCGACTGAGACTGAGCATGGTGGCACACACCTGCAATCCCAACACTTGGGAGACTATAAACAGGAGGATCACTACAAGTCTGATCTACACAGTGAGACCCTATACACCCTAAAGTACTAAAAAAAAAAAAGTAAAATTCTCAATTTATCAGATAATGATATCAAGGAATCTCCCTTCTACCCACCAAAAATATATATTAACAACAAATTGAGAGGGGCTGGTGAGATGGCTCAGTGGTCTAAAGCACCTACTTAGAATAAGCTTAGCAAAGCACAGGGACCGCGGTTCAATCCCCCAGCACCACATGCCAGCCAGCCCCGCCCCCTGGTGGGCTGAGCTGGACACACACACACACAC